CACAGAGCAGCCTTCAGAGCAGCATCTTCTCATTAAAACAGGACTTCTTATTCGCAAGATTAACAAAATAGAACACAGTATCTTAATTCAGCCTGAACTATTCAATAAAAATATGTTCTTAAACACATTGGCGTTTGCCCCTTGAAATCAATAATACGCTACTCCTTGATGTGTGTGTTGGTTTTAAATAAAAGACAGGCAGTCATTTAATCTGATAATAGAGGAAAACTACAGCAACTGGTTGGTATAATAGACATGGAAAGGGACAAGGATTGAGGAGTTCTGGACTGACATCTATTGCTGCCTCTAATTTGCTTTGAAACCTTAGCTAGTCTCTTCACCTATCTGGGCCTCAGTTTCTCTACATATAAGTTGAGAGAGTAAAAAATTGATAATATGCTTGTTTGATGATCTGTGATCTATCCACATCAGTAAATTCCAAAATGTCATGTCAGTGATATTATTTAGAATATTAATGAGAGTATGTGGTGACTGACTGAAGAGTCATATATCATTTTAATATACTTAAGAAAAGAAATATAAGCTCCTACTCTCTCCAAATCAATTAAACATATTGCAAGGCCCTTGGCAGCATCTTCACTAAACACATCTGATGTGACCCTTATCATTTGATTTAAGCAATTTTCTTTGAGCCTTCCTAGAACTGTGTACATTTTAGCATCAGAAGGGGAAATGTAGATCATCTCTCTTGACTCTCAGATTTTAGAGATGAGGAAACTGAGCTCATGGTACAACTCAGCAGCAAGAATAATAGTAGTGCCCTAACTGGTTTGGCTCAGTGGATAGAGCGTCAGCCTGCGGACCCAAGGGTCCTAGGTTCGATTCCGGTCAAGGGTATGTACCTTGGTTGAGGGCACATCCCCAGTAGGGAGTGTGCAGGAGGCAGCTGATTGATGTTTCTCTCTCATCAATGTTTCTAACTATCCCTCTCCCTTCCTCTCTGTAAAAAATCAATAAAAACATATGTACATATATATATATATGAATAATAGTAGAGCCCAGATCCATGGTTTGTGCCCAGTGATCTTTCCATTGCTAGAGGTCACCTGTAGGAGTTTGAGTTGGACACATGGCCCATTAGGCCTTGAGAATTCCAGTGAGGATCACGAGCAGGCTTTTGTTTCAACAGCTCATATATTCAAGGGCCACCAAGAGGTTAATAATATAAATGGATACTGTGTCATCATCTAACCAATAAATCATATTCTTGACCATATGTAAGCAACATTCAAGGGGACAGCAGATTTCCTTGAAATAACTCTAGATAAAAGAAGAAAAATCACAGCAGATATGTAGCCAGCTCCAATAATCCCTGCTTCTTGGTATTCATGCCCTTGTGTGGTTCCCTGCCAGAGTTGGTCTGTGAGGCTAGATCATAAATGCTATTTGGTTTTTGTCCCTGGTTTCTGACACAGAGCTCCTAAAACCCTTGCAATTTCCTGATAAGGCTGATAGAAGTGCATTTTGTTATAATGAGGTGACTTGTGAAAGCCCCTGGATAGCTTCAGGATGGGGGATGGTCATCAGAAGGAACAAGACTCATCAGAAGTTTAGAACTGTCAGCTCTACCCCTGAATCCTCCAAAAAGGGGAGGAGAGTTGGTGATTAAGTTAAACACCAATTTCCAATGATGTGATCAATTATGCCTACTAAATGAGACCTCCATAAAATCCCTAAAGGGTTTTTTTTAACCTTGGTGAGTGCATCCATCTGCTTGGAGGGTGGTGCACATGGAGAGAACGTGGAATTTTCAAGTCCTGCCACCCCTCTGGCCTATAATTCCATACCTAGTCCTTCACATGCTTATTGTCCGATAATGCAGCATGTTTTCTTCAGGCCCAAGCTGGGCCAGAGGCTTACAATGGTTGGAGAAAAACTAAAGAGAGAGCAAACACTACACAATCCCATCCCAGGAAGTCAGGGAACGAATGAAATGTTAGTAAAAGCAGAAAAGAAGTCAGCAACATGGTGCCTGTCTTCAAGTTTCTTAACCACTCAACAAGAAACAGAAAGCACAGAAACATTAACCCAAGGAATAAAAGTAGGACTTTATTTAATTTTTAAAATGTTTTAAAATGGATTTTAGAGAGAGGAAGCTAGAAAGAGAAAGAGAAACACCAATGAGAGAGAAACATCTATTGGCTGCCTCCAGCACTCCCCCTACTGGGGATCGCCCTGCGACCCCAGACATGTGCCCTGACCAGAAATCAAACCAACCTCTCGGTGCACCAGATGATGTTCAACCAACTGAGGCACACCGGCCAGGCAAATGGAGGGCATTTTCAGAAGGACCATTTAAATTGCAAGGGCTGGTGGAACTGGCAGAAGAAAATGACCAGAGTAGATGGGCTTATTATAGTAAATATATGTATATATAACCCCTCATATGGTATGGAATTTTATATTTATTAAGGACTTTTCCCACATTTATAATTTCTTTTCAGATACTTATTATAATGAGGTTGGCAGGACAGATGCTAACGACTTCATTTTACAGATGAGCAAGCTGGGACTCACTAAGCTTTGTTGGTTTGCTCAGTATCACAGAGCTTGTCAGTAGTGGAATATAAAACAACCAGCTCTCCTATCTCATCCTTTTTCAGCCGCCTCCTCTACTTCTTTGAACTGTTTCCCGGGAAGAGGTAAGTTCTAAAGCAGGACTAGCATTGTCTATATGGACAAAGAAAACAGGCATCCAAGAGTGGCAAGGGGTGCAGGATGGCTGTGGGAGAGCAAGAAAATGTGTGGGAAGGAGGTGATCAAGGCAGGTGGAAGAGTCCAGATTTATAATAGAAACCCCGGGGTGTGAAGTGTTGAAAGCCTGTTGAGCAGTGACTAAGGGAGCCATGGATATTAGATAGCAAATGCTCTCCTCTGACCCCATGACTAAGTTTTTCTGCTACATGGCTTCATATGTGAATCATCACAAAGAAAACAGCACCCAGTGCAGGTATATACAATCTCTGTTGGGTCTTTTCTAAATCCTAGTCACAGTGAGTGGCATACTTTTCAATTCTTGTTCTCTGGGTCTTGTATCCAAGGCTTATATTCTGGTATGGACCAAAGTTGATCCTCTTTAATTCTTCCTGATAATTGATATTGTCACCTACACTGACCCTACATAAGCCAGTGCCAGGAAGGTGCCACTCAAGTCAACTTCCTCCACAGAGTGCAAAGACAGGAGACGGGGCCTTGCATCTCTTAGTGGAACCAGATGGAAGGTTCTGAAGGAAGAATGGGACAGGGGCTGAATAGCACGCGATGCCAGATGAGTAGAGTGGGCCATAGCATGTTGTGATGCTATGTTAATCTTTCCATAAAGATCTTGCGTGGCCTGAATCTTTCATGTTGAGAATGCACATTGATTTCTGTGCTTAAAAATAAGAAATTTATCACTAAATGAATAAAACAAAAAACTTCTACTCATATTCAATCTCTCCCTACTGCCCATCCCCAGCATTCTTGTCTATTTTTATAAGCAACAATATTTTGGAAAATGAAAATTCTTGAAATCCTCAATCACAGTGCTACCCCAAAGCCTGGACTTAGTTCGAAAGCTCCGTGGCTCTGACTTAGTAGAGCCGGTTATCCTCTTTAATTGGATCGATGGCGACAACTGTAATTACTTTAGATAGATTGCCTGTAATATAATTATGCTTCCTTCGCCAGCCTGGGCTGGACTTGTGGAATACATACAGAAGAAGCCTCCAATTAATGAGAGGTGAAGGAGAGCACCATACTGCCTCACAAATCATGGTTGTTACTGTATAATATTTTTAATATTATATAGGAAGCTGAAGGAATTATTCCGGTATAGTGAGATGGCTACATTCCAGAGCTATATTTTTATAAGGACCTAACATGAACTACTGATAGTAAATCCGCATTTTCTCACTATTTAGTTACTGCTTCTTATTTATAATAAGTGATTATTATACAAGTGGTTACATCCAAAAGGCATTTTTACAAAGCATACATCGTAAAGTTTAACTTGATTGTTTTCCTATTGTTTGAAAACTTACAGTTTCTAAAAGTGGCATAATAAATAGTAAGAGACACCTTTAAAATACTGGTCTTTATAATAGATGGAGCCATAAATGATACCTAAGGAGCCAGCTGCTTTGCTACAATGATGCCTCTTTCTATTTTCCAATTAACACATGGAGAACTTTACATTTTTTCCACGGGAAGCCCAGCCTCTAATCAGGACGAGGCTGCCAAGTGTACTGCAAACACATGCAGTTTGGGAGACATGGCACATACTGAAATCCACTCCGATCCTATTAGCGTTAGCATTGCTCTCATTAAAAATAGAGCTGCTTGTGGGTTTTCCTTCTCAAGCATATGAGACATGGAACTTGGACATGTGCCCTTTTGAAAAACTTATTCCTGTATTCACAAACCAGATGGTGCACATCAAATGCATCCTGATTTTCTAATGAAATAAAAAAGGGTTCCTGGTGTGTCCTTTAATGAGATTAACGCACCCTCCATGGCTAGTTTTGACAGATACTCCTGGAAAGTTAAACAACTTGGCTAACATGGTTCTGCTGGACCCGACGGGAAGGCTCACCCGGGCTGAGGGCTGGGGCCGCGCTGAGGGGCGCTCTGCATTTTAATTCTTCCAACGGTGGGCTTTAGGAGAGGCGCAGGCATGCCGCAGCTGCTCACAAAGAAACCTCCTGCCTTTGAACATCAGAGACAAAGAGTCTGCTGTCTCATAAAAGGGCTAATCAGGCAAGAAAAAGGGCCGATCTTCCTGTCTCTCTCATTGGTCCAGTCCATGCTTGGTCAGGCCATCAAGCCGTATCCTGAGGGTGCGTTCATCACTCCCACTGCCGATAAAAACCTAATTCTGGGCACCATTTGAAAGTCGCCCTCCTGACTTTGGGATACCGCACAACAATAATGTACTCAAAGTCAATAAAATTATGCTGGTTTTCCCCCAACAAATGACAGAAGCATATAATGTAGCTTACCCTGGAGAAGGCTGGTTTGTGTGGTCAAAAACCTGAAGAAGAAGAAAAAAAATAGAGGAATGGATTAATATTCTATTCCTTCTGACCTTTGTCACCACAATTGTCATTTTCCAATCTGATGTATCTCTTGCTTGAAGTAATAAAATGGTTTAAGCCAAGTTGGATTCTAACCTGAGGCCAATTTCTGTGTTTAATTCCACTATTAAGCTAGGAATAGGTTCAGCTGAGAGGAACAGACTCGAGTGAAAAACTGTCCCAGGTTAGACACTGTAGTTGTGAAACATTTTTTTGAGCTTTCAACAACTTGAAGATCTCAGCTATGTCTTTTTCTTTAATCTCCCTCCACAGATGAGAAAAAATTTTCTTTGTGCTGAGGCACCATTTCATGCAACATCGTATCTCATTTTTCTTCATGAACTGCTCTAATTTAACAGTTGGGCTGGAACAGCACACATTACCACCAGGTTCAGTCATATAACATCCACAATCTGGAAATAACAAGTTGGAAACTTCGCATCCTACAAAATAAATCAGTCACTCCATCAGTTCTAAAAACCCGAGAGTCTGAAAATTGAAGGAAGGTATTTGAACAGCCCTGGGCACAAGCTGTTGCTGAGTTAGATGCTCAGTTAAGCTGAGTACCATGTCTTCTTCCCAGTTTGCTTTGCAGAAGCAGCTATTTTATATTTTAAGTATGTGTATCCTCCAACTTTGCTAGAAAGTCTTAATTAAAAATACCACCACTACCTCCAAGTGATGGGTCCATCAATACTCAAGGATTGGAAAAAAAATTTCCCCAAATGTCACATAAGTCCCTGGGACTGAGGAGCTTTTCCTCTCTTTAAGGCTTCTCTTCTGGGTGTTTTGACACTGGGGATAAAAACGTATTTAGCAAAGAGCTACCAAATTCATCAAAAGGTTAAGATTCTTTTTATTTTAGCACTCTTTCTTAATGGGCAAAAATTGATTGATTTACCTAGAACATTCTTAGCCTTAGGGCAGAAACAGCACTCTGTACAAAACAGTGGAATGGATTTACAAAAGAAAAAGAAAATCAACATTCAAGAATACAGTGGACTTCAAAAATGGAAGAAAACAGACAAAAGAAGGTCTGAAAACATATTAAAATTCTTGTATTTGTTTAAAAGCTAATGGACGTGTTTCAGTTGCACTGAATTATCATGTGGGTACTGGCTCTTTATCTTAGTTGGGAATGTACTTACATTAGGACATTTAAATTCACCTGGATAGTTTATATTCTCACCTTAGTTTCCTGAAACTCCATGTACTTTTTGAGAAAACAAATTAAGGCAAGTGCTTCTCCAATAAATCCACAACCTCTAGTGCTTCCCTCCACCTCCCTCCCCACGCTGACTGAAACTACTTTCAGGAAGAGAGTTCTCTAAGTGGAAAGTTTGTTGACCTTTCGGGAAAAGATAGGGGGTGAAAGAGAGAAGCAGCTAATTACTTGCCACTGGCTAGAATGAAGTGAGAAGGACTATCTGAACCCCAGTAATATTAATCCTCCTTTACTCTGATCTCATCTCTGACCCTTCTACTATTTATTGCTTGGGCATTTGCAAGTACCATGTCCCCTGCACAGTGATTTGCATCTTAGGGGAAATATTTTCTAAATTTAAGTGTGCATGAGGATCCCTTGGGAAGTGTATTCAAAATGCAGATTCCTGAGCTCCAGCCCAGCTCTGCTAAATCGGAATCTCTAAAGAATTAGCACCCAAGAATGTCCATTTTCTTTTTTATTTTTTTAAATCCTCACCCAAGAATATTTTCCCATTGATTTTTAGAGAGAGTGGAGGGGAGGAAATAAAGCACATGGAGGGCAGACCTTATATGCACAGACATCTGGGCAGCTTTGCCAGGAAGCTACGGCTTCATGCTCCCAGGGAACCACCAGTTAAAATCGCGCACTCCCTGACCCGCACTTGCCTGAGCCTCGCCTATTTTCTCTCCATAGCCATGTGGCCTTAAGCTTGGCCGATGGCTGTTCAGACCCCACAGGCAATGGACTGCAGCTGGGACACAAGCCAAGCTAGCCTGATCAGGACTGGACTGCACGTTAACATGGAACGGAAATTCTGGGCAGTGGCCTTTATTCTGGCCCGGCTGAAGACAAGATGGGACTTCTTCAGTGACAGGACATACGGGAAGGGGACATTGGAGGGAAAACCCTTAATTTTACACCATCAATAAAGTTTTCCATGAAACCCCATCCTCTCAGGGGGGCCTTAGGAAATTCTTTTCTTAGGGTACCCCAAGAACTCCACGTCCTCAGATAACAGTAATATATAAGTGCAACTTGTTCATTATTTCCAAATGTCTTTCCTTCTCCTTTATGACTTCCAGACAGATATATGACTAGCCTTAAGCATTAGGTCACTTTGATAATCCATAAATCACTGAAAAAGGGAGAAAATTTAGGTAATATAGATGCTAATTAATGTGGCCTTATTTACTGCTTAACTCCGCATAAGTTATAGAATCCTTGAAATTTATAGCTAGAAGGACTTCAGAAAAGATTTAGTTCAATCCTTTCATTTTTTAAAAATATTTTATAGGTGAAGAAACTTTCATGCAAAGAAATTAACTAATGTTAGGGTTATTTTATAAATGGGAATTATCTGAAACATTAATAGAACGTTTTCACTGTGATCTTGAATGATTCCCAAGTTTCTGCTTAATTTTCACCCCTTCTCAGTTGAGATGGAAATATCCACAAAGCAAACAATGTAAGTAAATACAATTAATCATAATAAATTATGTACTGTCTTGGATTTGCCTAGAACCAAATACTACTGAAATAGACACATGACGTCCTGCTGTTTCTAATTTTCCACCAATTCATGAAACACTTCATGCTTTTCTTATGATTGCACAAACCTTTCAATTTCCTCTTATAGTGAATATCACGAAAGGCATCAAAGGGCCTGAGTCCATGCCATGAAGTCCTTGAGTGTGGAATGGCAGTTTCTAATGCACAGAGTTTGCGTGAATGATAATCAACTTATTATCATTTTCTTTTATCATCCTCAGGACTTCATTTCCTTCATCTATCAATGTTGGGATTGAAATGGATGATATCTAAGTATCTTAAAAAATGATACAATTAAACTAAAATATAAATGCTGGCATAAAGATGCTGAGTTTTAATTTAAAACATATATGAACATATTTGAGAAATGATCATCTCTCCCATCACCATCATTTCATTGAAAAGGAAAATTTCAGCTCTAAATGCATAGGAAGCACATAATCTATACTAATAATAGGGTAAGATACACATTGGTTGGGATGCTGTCACAGTAATGACCAATCAGCAGGCTGCATGTGCAGCAGGCGTGGTGGGTGGAGACTTGCAGCATCGGGGTTGGGGGCGGGGCCATGGCAGGAAGGCCTCTCCATGCGCCTGTACCAGGGGTCCACAGGTGTGCGAAGTGGCCTCTCTGCCATGGCCTGGACGGGGGTCTACAGGCCTCCCCGGCTCCGGCCTACCTCTTTGGGGTAATCCATCTAGGAGCCCCAGATGGGTGGGTGGGGCCTACCTCTTTGGGGCGATGGATTGTGGGGCTCCTGCACTGTGGCAGGGCACAGACCAGGCTGGGGGACCCCCACCCCACCCCGAGTGCACAAATTTCGTGCACCAGGCCACTAGTTTCAAAATAAAGACAATCCTTAGGTTGAAAAAAAAAGAGTAATTATTCTTATGTTTCCCGTATTGCTGTAGATTGGCGATTTTCAACTGGTGTGTTGCAAGAATTTTTAAAACATGCAATATCTGACTAGTCAGGGGCACAGACCTCTGTTCCCTTAGATTGTCAAATAAAACAATGACAAGAGCCAATGCTACCAAAGCCGTCCAGTGTGAATGAGTCAAAATTACACCCACACCAAATATAATATATTTTTTGGTGTGCCACAGAATTCTAGTAATTAGTTCATGTGTGCCACGAGATGAAGAAGGTTGAAAATCACTGCTGTTGAGTCACAGTGACTTTGCCTTGGACTAGCCCCAGCCTAGGAACTACTCTTTGGGAGCCAGGCACTCTTGTGAAGTTCTACAGAGAACTTAGAAGCAGTGTTTCCCTGGGTGTATCTGACTCAACACTCCTCCCCTGAGATGCTTCTAAATAAGGGACTTCCTGGTTTTAGAATAATGGAGTGTGTGGTGGGTGCTTGACAGTATAATTCCCTTTCAGAGGTTCTTAGTGAATAATATTATAGATTCAGAGTTATCTTAAAACTAGGCAAAATGTTAATTTTATTTCATCTCTCATTTAAAATAGTTATTTACCCCAGGAAGCAAGTATTGCACATAGCACCTGAGAACATTCTGAAAAACTAGTGTTCTGCATAGCACACTCTCAGAAATTTGTCTATGACTTCCCTTAAAGCAACTCCATGTCCTAACCTTCCACTTACAGTTAATAGGCCCACCTTTCTCCCACTCCACAATGTAACTTCGGAGAACTCTCTGATCTACACTCAAGAAATATTAGTTAAGTGATTGGAAGGGGGCCTACATGGCAGATGGCAGCTGCAAGGCCAGAATAAAGACCTGGGAGAAAGGCTAGGTCTTCATGAGGGAGATGGTGTCTCCCCTCCCATCAGATCAAGCCATGCAAGCCGTGACTTACAGGTCTTTCCTCCTGATCATTTTGGTAGCTTCAGCTGTGGGTAAGGAGAATGAAATAACAGTGGCTTAAAGAAGATAAATTTTATTTTTCTCTTGTCTACACAATTACTTACATAGTCCCAAGCAGTGACTCTCAAGGCCCGGGGGAGCAGAATCAGCTTCGCCTGGAAGCTGGTTAGGAAGGCACATTTTTGAGACTTTCCCACACCTGCTGAATTGGACCGAGGTTCATCAAGCCCTCAGGGTGAGGCTGATGCCAATCTTTCAGAAACACTGGTCCAGAGGTAGTGGTCCAGGGCTGGAATGGGGACTCTGTCCCAGGAAGTCATCCAGGAATCCAGGCTCCTTCTCTCTGGATGCTTCACTCACTATGCCCTAGGT